CGATACAATGGGCAAAGCTACCAGACATGCGAGTCAACATCAACAATGGATGTGACTTATGTAAACTCACTGTTTGAGTTTCCTGGATCACTGGATCTTCAATAGATCACTGGATAACTGGATCTCAGCTCCCACAAGAAACAAACAGCATCAGCATAAACAAGCATGCATTCAATTCTTGAAACTGTCAACTTCAAGAACAAGAGGGCACAGATTCAGGCTAAGGAAACAAAGGTGCCCTCCAAAAATATTAGAACATTTTCTTTTGCAGTGTCAGATGACAAAGAATGCTGGGACGACGGGACACCACAAGCATAGTTCTCATCCCGTAACTACACTTAGGTAATTACTGTACACTTAGGTGTACTTTAACTTTTTCTTCACAGGCCTCACTGCTGCAGCTTATGTCTTGAAGCAATACCTAGGCAGGGTTGACTCGACAAGTTTCCCTAATGGAGGATCTTAAAACCTCACAGTTGATAACTCTGTGAACAGTTATCATCATCAGTATCAAGGAAGGGTAGCATAGGTGCCAAAGTAGTGAAAATATCAAGGGGACACTCAATGAGATTACCATACAAGCTCATGAAATAGAGTATTAACTCCTAACAGTGGGACCTACAGTAACTTCAAGAGGGTGGTTAACCAACTTATCTGAAATGGACAATACAGTGATCCCAGGCAGGAGCGACACTATAAAAACCCACACCAGGGAATACAGTGGTGACCCAGAATATGGCAAGGTACCACCTGGTTGGAGGGAGGAAGGGGGCTGTGTAACAGTTAGCAGGTTGGTGACTTTTTTAGTTTGGTAAACATTCTTGGTAGTGTTTTGTGACTTCTTTCATTGTTATAGGCAGTTTGCCACAGATGTTAACTGATCTTCACATGCCCCCCCTGCCCCTGTAAGGAGGTAAAATATAATCATTGGTAGGGTACTTACAGCTGATGGGTAGAGAAAGCCATAGGAGCCTAACATGCTGAAAGTGGCTCAACTGCATCAGTGCCATAAGCTGAGGAGACTTGCCCAGAAATACAATATAGATAATTTTTTATTCTAATAATAGAAGTAAAACATTGTTTATATATATTGTGTTTAAATATGGATAAAAAGGGAGTTTTGTCATTTGCAATAACAAAACTGAATTCTTGTGTAAAATTCTAAAAAAAAAAAGGCTAAATATTTAGGAATCTGGATTATTCACAAATCAGGATCAGTTTTGGAAATATTATGATCCAGAATTTGGTAGCAAAAAATATATAAATTATTTTCATTAACTATACAGTGAGATGTAGCTACAAGTACTAAAGAAACCACAACACCAATTTAGAGAAATACAAACTTACTATGGCAAATTACTTGACCAGTACAATAACTATCAACAGAAAAATAAACTAAGAAATTTTGTAAATGTAGCTGGTCATCTCTGCATAAGCTTAACAAAATAACTTTGTGTTAAAAATATGCTTAACCACTGTGATGTGCCGAGTTTATTGTGACCTTCCCCCTGTGCGCATAATAGCAAGTGATTACAAAAATTATTTTGATCTTTGTAAAATAATAAATTCCCTTCCCTGAACATGTTCATGTAAAAAAAAAAAAAAAAAAAAAAAAAAAAATACACTTACTTTGGTTGTGGGGACGTGGAGAAGGGGCATCATGGGCTGGCCGCCCGTATGTGAACCTCCCAGAGGTGGTCGCATGGGCCATTCAATACCTCGAGTTGCCACAAATACAGTTTCAATTATTTGTTCTGTTTATTTCCAATGCGGTTTTGTTTGTTTTTTTATCGTATATGATGCATATTTGTGTCCTTTGCAATATGTATACAGTAGAATGCCCATAATGTTCCATGGAACTGTGATGCATGTATCAGTAATGTGTCCACAATCAATGATTGTCATCACAATATTACTTGTTAATAATTCACTAAAATATGTACAGTTTCCACAGTAACACATTGTATTACACACTCAGTACTTCAGAAGTGAGTGATAATCAACGAAGCAGTCCATGGTATGCAGCGCGACTTCGCTCTCGTTGCACCAGGTACAGATAGATTTTTGCTTCCTGTTCTTTGGCCTGTGTGCTTGCAAATAATGCACTCACGTACACCCTTGGCTTTAGTACTTGTAGGTGGTATGTAGCCAAGCTTGTAAAGCATAAGGTAGTCTTGAAAAATTATAGGAAAGATCAATTTGTAAGTCTCGAAAAGATAGCTTTGTAAGGTCCCTCACTGGAAGAGATTCAGTCATTCTGGAAGATATTAGTCAATCAGGAGGAGATTCAGTCATTCTGGAAGAGATTCAGCTATACTTAAAAATATCTATGGAAAACTCCACTATGAAAGCTGCTAACACTGTTCATCTATGCTACTTGTATCAGATGCATCATCACTGAACCCAGCAAACAATTCATCTATGTATCATCTATAAAAATTGGAGATGGCATGGGTGGCGCTCAGAGCTACAACTTGATAAGCTTGCTTTATCGTCCTCATCGGTGCTGTATCAATTGCATCCGACCTTTGTATTAGGTCCTCATTGCATCTAGCTTCAACAATATCATGACCCTTATGTTCTTCACACAATAAGGTCTGAATTTCACCAACAGAGAGCGATCTTTCAACTCCGCTTAAGATAGGTGTTTGAGAGCCAGAGGTGCGTGCGTCACCCATGGTTGCTTTCTCAGTACTGTACTAAGCCAGCCAGCAGCCCTAGGACATTCTGGGAATTTATTCCAAGATGGCTGCCTCTCACTGGAGGTCACAAGAGTCCATTTCGTAAACAACCTACCGCACACGCACTTTGAATGGGTACGAAATATTCAAAAGGTGTTTTCTAGGTTAGCGCAGTTCCAACCGAGTTTTCTCAGTTGGCGCAGCACAGTGGTTAATTACAGTAGAACCTCGATTAATGAATTTAATCCGTTCAGGTACCGAGATCGTCATGTGACACGCTTGTCTTTCAAAACGAATTTCCCCTTTTAAAATAATGGAAATAAAATTAATCCGTTCCACCACCGAAAAACATCAATATAATATTCAATTTTTTAAATAATGGAGCAGCCTACCTGACACACACTGAATGATCTTTTATAATATTTGTCTTGTTTCAATTTTTTTTTTTTTTTTTTTTTTTTTTTTTTTTTAGAAAATATAGCAGCCTACCTGACATTCACTGAACTAACCTTTGTTGACATTTGTTCTTCTTTCAATTTTTTTTTATTTTTTTTTGTTCTAATTTTGTCTAAAAAACAAAAATCAATGTTATGCAGCATTACAGCAGTCACCCCTTTACATCCCAGCATCATTAGCCTCTTTAAAACAAAACAAAAAACAGTTATTTGCATCGTCGGAGGTGTCCGAGAATTTGCGAGAACCGGCGGGAACGCTAGGAAGCACCATGTGCTTTTCTCGTTAATCAAACGAAAGCTCGGAGACAAATTTTCACTGAGTGGCGTGCCCATTATTCGAAATGCTCGTAGATTGAGGCGCTCGTCACTCGAGGTTCCACTGTAATTGTAAGTGCACACACCAGTGCCATCAATGTCATGCAATTTAAATGTACAGTACTCAGATTCTTTTGTCACCAACTTTGCAGCTGAATGAATGATTTATTAAAAGGAAAATGTGTAATAAAAGATAAAGCCAAGAGAATTAACTACAGCATATTATGTGTGGAGGAAGCATTTTGTAAGGGAAGATGAGGGTAAACAGAGGTGTAGTCTTCATTGAAGACTTCTTCTTCTTCATTCTTCATTGATAACTTCAATGAAGTCTTCATTGAAGACTTCATTGTAATGTAAATATAGAAAACAATACTGTACTGTATTTACTATCTGTGCCTGCAGAATTGAGCTATTAGCTCTTGGACCCCACCTTTCTAACCAATCTATTTTTCCTCTATTATGTCTAATACTGCACATATATTTCTTTCTAACACATGCACTCACACACTCATCCCAGGAAGCAGCTCATACCAGCTGTTTAACTCCAAGGTACCTAGTTACTGCTAAGTGAACAGGAATATCAGGGTGAAAGAAACTTTGCCAACTTGTTTCAGCCACGACCGGGAATCGAACCTGGGCCTTAGGACTACGATCCCCGAGTGCTGTCCATGGGCTTCGCGGCCGAGTACTAAAAGTGTGTAAGGCTGTAGTGCCGTATCAGTGTGCAAGGCACACATCACTCTCACCATACACTAGAACAGGTTAAAAAGGTGTACTACTCATCCAACATCATCTACAGCAGAGGATGTACAAGAATGGTAACAAAAAAGAAACTTTTATTATTCTAGTTTTTATACGAAATACATGAAGCTCCATTAAAAAGAGGACTGGCAGTGATTTTTATGCTCAACCTGTACTATAACAACTACTTAGTGCAGCTATTAAATGTTTCCAGTGGCTTACCCAAATATGATGCTAGTTATCAGCAACATTTTTATTACAACCTTTTAATCTAAACAAATGACAGACTGACCCTGTAAATATATAAATGACTACAGGCTCAAAGTAACACTTGTGGAAATAAATGCGAACACATTACTCTTAAGTTATGCTAGAAATAAATTACAAAGGGGCTTTGGAAGCATCCATTATACCAATATAGCTTTACACATATGTGGAGTACTAACAAAGAGGACTATAATATGAAGACAGGGTCAACCTTTCATTTCTTTCTACATTAGTAAGGCAGGCCATTTAATGATGTGGGGGAAAAAAAAAACTTAATCCCCCCCCCCCTGAGTGCTCTGCACGGTCTCATATATATTAACTTTATGAATGGTTTATAAGGCTAACATAACAATAAAATGGCATAATATGTCATTTATTACAATTTCATAAATAAAACAGGATATAATAAAGAAAAAATAACATCAGGCATTCAAAATACAGTCACTAAGTGACTAACATATACAGTATTACAATTACAACCTAAATGTGTAAATTTAAAGATTTCAGATTTCACAACTGTTACACTGTATCACATTCTTACCTGAATGCATTGATCACAAAGCCACTCTGAACAGTCTGTACAAAGGCCAGTTGCCAATGCCTCGTCTGTACAAGAAGTGCAGGTAAAACTTTCTTCAGACGCACTACTTGCCCCTCGGTCCCCACTACTCTGAGCCTCACAAACAAACATATTGTCTAATATACTCTCCTGAGGGAAACCTTTTTTGCACATAGGGCAATGGATGAGGGGATCCACTGAAAGTAAAAAAAATATAAAAGGAAAAATTACATGAGTATACTGGACTAGCTTTAAGATTATAACAAAACTTTATTTACTGAAATAATGTAAATTTAAACACTGAGGCCTTCCAAATCCTTTAAAATTATTATTAAACACTGATAGTTTTTAACACTGCTGGCAAGGCAGTAATGCCAAATATCATATTAATAAACAAATTTAATCTATAACCAAATTAAAATTTTCAAGTATATTTCATTTTACATCATTATTGCACTATCATTTTAAAAATGTGAAACCTTTCATGTATCCAGCATGAAGGGAAGAGTTGGGTTAGCTTGGCCTCTAAGATAGAAAAATGTGAAATAACCAGCATTGAATGTAATGAAATGCCATTTTCTGGATGAGTCCTGAAGGCTCCCTGTAGCTATAGGACTGATATTAGCTATATTTGTCTGGGGCTTCAGTCACATGGAGTTGTCATGCCTACCAAAAACCCCAAGCCAGAACCTGGTTCCCTCAGAGAGGCAAAGGGAGAATTGGCCTATGAAAACTCCACTCTTTGAGAGTATATTCATGTTTGTCATCGACCGGAGTTAGGTACCCAGAAATGTAGGCACCCGCAAAACAGATCCCAACTGGTAGAAAATTGCAACTGGAGACCGAAACAGATGCTAAGAACTCCCCCTAAGAAAAATAAGTAAACAAGCAAATCATCATCATCAGCCTGACGCGCAGCTTGTTGGCCCCACCCCCACCAAGAGGGTGGGAGGGGGAGGCCCTGCCCTGTCTCACCGAGCAGGCTGTCTGCCCACTAGTTTGGAGACTGAGCAAATGGAAGAAAAACAGCCAACCGGAGGGAGGGAGGTTGCCAGGGAGCCTCCGGGGGCTCACCCAGAAAATGGAGTTTCATTACATTCAACGCTGGCTTTCTGAGGGAAAACCCGTCAGCTCCCTGGAACTAGCTACCCAAAGATAAGTAAAAGAGGGATTCACCCAGGAGGCGACAACCCCACACGTTGCAGGATGAAGATGGGACCGTTAGCCGCAACCGACGGCCCAAGGCCACACAAGCCCACAGAGGGCAAGGAACAGACATGAGATAACGGTCGGCCAGGACCCTTTATGACCTCCAAAACCCCCATGCCCTAATGCCAGCCCAAGACATGTTCCCAAACACAGCAGTAAACTTCCAAACATTGTGGACAGGAGAGACCACAGGCTGGCTAGACTCGATAACTCTGCGGACGACCTGAGAGACCCGAGCCCCGGAACAGGGAACGAGGGACATCGGATCAACCCAAAGCTCGTCCCCGGACTCAAAACCCGAGGCGTGCACATAACGGCATAAAGCCGCAACAGGACAGAAAATATGATGCACCCCCGGCCGTCTCAACCAAGCAGCAAAAACCTACATACCCCACCGGAAGCCCGCCGTCTCAATCTTCAAAGGCAAAGGAGGAGACAGCTGCAACCGAACAAAATGTCCACCAGGACCGAAAGAGCAGAAACCCCTGTGTCGGGGAAGAACAGGAAGCTTACCATCCCGACCCCCAGAGGCCAAAGCCAATAATAACAAAGTCTACTGAAAGCAAACGTGAACCGAAGGGGCCACTGCAAAAGTGGTATGGCGCAGAAGTGACATCCACCCAGAGCGCAAGCTGGAGTGGCTCCAACATCGCCACACGAAACAAGGCGACAGTAAACAGCATCAGAAGCTAGTCCTGAAAAAGCCACGAAAGACAAAACTACCCAATCAGACACCAAAGACAACCTATGAAAATAAAGGAAATGGCAAAAATAATGCAAGAGACTTCATACCGCTGCCGAGAAGACTGCAGATGGGACACCATAAGAGAAACCACCTGATCACCAACCAAGTGGTGATCACACACACACACACACACACACACCAGAGATACTAGACGCGAAGCACGGAAGAGTAGATTGAACCAGCAAGGTACTGTACCGGGTTGATCTGCTGGAAGAGGCGAAGCCGCAGAAAATGTCCCGGGTTCGGACACCACGCAAGCAGTGCCTGAAACCAAGGCTGGGCCGGCCACCATGGGGCTAGAAGTAGAACTCTTCCCTGGTAGGACTCCAGCCGAGCCAGAACCTGGAGAAACATCTGGACCGGGAGAAAGAAGTACAAGTACCCCCACCTCAACCAGTCCTGCTGAAAAGCATCAACCGCGATGGCCTTGCAGTCGGGGAAGGTAGGCCTGTGTAGGCCTCCCTACAGAGAAACACCATGATCACGACGACACGAACAGGCTCACCATCGGGGGCCCGAACGTCCAGCAGAGCCAACTGAAGGAGACGGTATCGACCACCCAGTCCGTGGACAGACAAATGAACCGAGACAGGCCGACTGCCAGGACGGTAGACACCCCAGATGTGAACTGCACGGAGAGCTAAACCCTGAAAACACAGCAGAAGAGCCACTCAAAACATCCAGCCCTAAAGAGCCAAGGACCAAAGAGATCCGCCACAGTTTGGGCAAGGAACTAATAGGAGCGCAGTCCGAATGGAGGAGGATCATAAAGCCTCGAGCTAGCCGATCTGTCACAGCGAAAGCCACACTGCTGCAAACACCCACACCGTGTTGTGAGCCCACCACCCCTGGGCGGGGTGTGGAGTACAGGGCACAAAACCCCAGCCGAGAGATGAGGAAGAGTCACTAATTAAACATCCATGGCATCTATAACATCCATGAACACACCGAGCGAGGAACCAGAAGGTGCCAAGGCAGCGAACCCCCGAAAAACTTGAAAAGGAAGCCGGAGACACAACAACCAACACAAGGCACCTGGAGGACAAACTCAGTGATCGCAAGAGCAGCATAAGGGACGGCCCCAAAGGAACCAGAACAAATGCTGAAGCCAAACCCGACCCAGAGAGTAAACCAGCCCAGCGAAGTTCAACTCCCGCACAGCCGCTCAAGCAATCCTTAAACGACCCGGGACACCCTCAAGAACAGCTACAGGCAGAACTGCAGCCGGAGCAAAGCCACCGGGGGGAAGACACACAGACGCTCCAAGAATCCCAAACAAGGCCCAGCCAAGTCCGAACCCGAGATAGAATCAACTGGGACTTACACCAAACTACCAGGAACCCGAACTTGGCAAGCTGAGAAAGAACAAGAACCCGGTCAAGCAGAGCTACCAACCGGCAGAGAGGCCACACCAGCTAACCATCGAGGCAGGCTGCCAGCCAGGAAAACACTAGAATGAACGATTGCAACCGATTAGTGTAAGAGGGACCAAACTCAAACAAAAACCAGACCCAACACAGAAACAGGTCTTACATGAGGCACGAGCTGAGAGCCTCCCAACCCTCGCAAGGGAAAGCGAAGAAGATGAAAACCTCCAAGGGACAAATCCGAGAACCCAAGGGCACCCGGAAACGAACCCGAGGGGGAAGCCCTATCAACCACATTTGCCGGCGGAGAAAATGCAATAGGAAGGAACGGTCGCCAAGGGACAGGAAAGTCGGAACCAAGGAGAAACAATTTTTTTTCGTTCACTGGTTATAACTGCATATCACAGAGGAACGAAGAAAATGAGCACCAATGCTAACACGGACGAAGTACAGAGAAAATTCGAAGGCTTGGGAGCTGGTCAAGCAGAGTGGGCAAGGACACCAGGTACAAAACAAGTGCCCACTAGAAAGGAAAACTAGGAACCTCAATCTGGAAACACAAGACCGAGGGACTAGACCACCACCTTGAGGTTATCTCGAGATGATTTTGGGGCTTAGTGTCCCCGCGGCCTGGTCCTCGACCCGGCCTCCTTTTTGCTACACACTCCCAGGAAGCAGCCCGTAGCAGCTGTCTAACTCCCAGGTACCTATTTACTGCTAGGTAACAGGGGCATCAGGGCAAAAGAAACATTTTGCCCATTTGTCACCGCCTCTACTGGGGATCAAACCCGGAACCTCAGGACTACGAATCCGAAGCACTGTCCACCCAGCTGTCAAGTGCTGTCAGCTGTCAGACACCCAGAAGTCCCAAGGGATCCCAAGTCCCAAGGAAGTCCCAAAGGAAACATGGTAGGATGAAAGAAGCAGGCAACCATAGGTAACCAAGAAGACAAATTAGAGTCCGGAGAATCCTGCACAAGCACGCAAAGCGGTGTAAACAGGTCCAGGTCCCTAATCAAAATGGGGCGGCACAGGGGCATTTGAGCGGGCGGCCAACCTAGCGCGTTGCAAGAACCTAAACCTACCATGCAAAGCGACAGCTGCTTGACCCCTAAGATCTTCTGAAGCAGAATGGGTAAACAGAAGGAGCGGGGAACAAGACCCGCACGATTCCGGGTAATGTGTGGCCACGTCTGTGGTAGAAAATAATAATAATAATAATAATAATAATAATAATAATAATAATAATAATAATAATAAAAAAAAAACATTCTGGGTCGAAGGAGCTGATGACCCAACAAGCAGTATGACTGAAGCAATACAGATGAATGTCACCCTGAGACATGGGCAACAAGCAACCTTCAAACTCGCACAAGGCGAGATGGGACTCAGAGGACATAATGAGTCACCCGAGCCCCGACGGGGGTTTCCAGGGCTAGCAGGAGAATGTATCCCTACAGGAAGCCCAGGCACTGGTGCTGCCAAAGCCGGTTAAACCTCGTCTATACTGGGCAAACTGGCCCCTGGGAAGGGAGCAACCTCGGGGACAGCGTGTAGGACCACCAAACGGAACCAAGGCATACAAAATGGGAAGCCACGCAGCCCTCCACCAGGCAGGAAAAAACTAAAAAGAAAAGAACCCTGAAAGTGCTCCACAACAGGCCAGAGAGAGGCATGGCCGCTGCTGTTATGCAGCTGTGCAGTGCAGCACAGTGCGCCCCAACCAGCAACAAACACTTCCTACCCAGGGCCAAATGAAAGCACGAAGACCTTAGCTGACCCCCACAAGGGCAAGGCAGAAGCCAAGCGACCGCTACCCCTACGGGAGTGGGAACCCGAAAGTCCCAGAGAAGAGAACCCTGAAACCTAAGGTAAG